AGTAGGTGTGGAAGTCAGCCAGAAAAGCTGGAAAACACTCTCTACCACATTCCAGGATTGTGTGTCGTGGGAAGAGGGAAAGGAGTACAAACGTCATCCTAACTAAGAGCATGGGGTATTTTATTATTTTCTCTAAGCCTCTATTTACTTATCTGTAAAATAAATATAACTCGATTGAACTATTGAATGATTCAAATGAAATAAGTGTGTTTCTATTGCTTAGCATTGAGCATAGGTACATAGTGTGCTTGATAAAGATGAATGTAGATGACAAGACCAGGAGGAGGAGGAAGAAAAGGATTGTCGAATTCTTGAAGATGTTTACTTTTAGCCAGATTGGGGATAGAAAGAGGCGACAGCCCATGAAGAATGAAAAGCAGCAATCGGTACTGGAGGAAATAGAAAGTCTTCCCGTGTCAGTCTCTGTGGTGTCCCCCCATCAAACCTAGAAATAGTGATGGACCATAGAGCCCAAATACCGAATACTATTTATGTTTGACCTTTGTACAGTCTCAGTTCCTAAGGTCCCAAGAGAGGGTGTGTTTAGTGATTTCTGGGTATTGAAGTAGAGGGGTGGCTATAGGCATAAATATGCCCCATAGGTCACATGATTCAAGGAGACCAAGTAAAATGATTAGGCAAAAAAGGCAAAGAATTGAATATGCAAAATTCATTGTTGAAATTAAAAAGAAAAACTTTGATGGTTTATTGAGACAGATGCCAGGAAATAATAGGTTTATGGGCAATTAGGTAAGTGTAAGATAGGTATATGCATATATACATAGGTGTAGGCCACTATAGATGCTGAGAGAGAGTTGAGCAAAGTAGCAATGGGACAATGGTTCAGAGTTGGGCTCCAAGGGTACAGAAATACATCTCCAAAAGGAGATTATTCGATTACTTTCTGAGACAAAAGCATTACGAATGGGTGGAAACAAAACTTTGAGCAAGAGTCTATAATATGGAGATTAACCTGGCAACAGTGGTGAGTTCTGGTCCTGTTAACCTAAACCACAGAGTAGGGAACTGTGCTAGGAAAGGCCAACAGGCTGTGGACACCTTCAGGACCAACTGCTTACTCCAAGAATGAGGAATTCGGAGTGCCTAGGCAGGGCTTCTCTGCAAATGTTCCTTGTACATGCATTAGTGGCCTCTGACATCCACCAAGGTGTCTGTATTTCAAAATCCATCAGCAGGCCTGGCTCCTTCCACTGCTGCAGGAAATACAGCGTATAACCAGCTGGCTGAAGAGTGGATCTGGTGCTTGGTGCCACTTTATCGGCTCCCGGAATTTTGAATTGTGTGTGCCCTATCTTTTTACTATGTGGCAGACCTCTGCCTTTCTGTTTTGACCATCAGTCCTGGCCCCCACAGTGAGTAAACTGGAAGAACCAATTTTTAGAACCTTATATATATCCTTTTCATTTTTTTCTTGAAATCGCACCTTATGAACCAACTGTTTCCTTACAGCACACGGATATCAAGTTATCTAAATAAACATCTATTCAGGTTGATTTTCACTTTCCTGATCGAAACAAACTTGAGTGTGCATGCAAGCCATAGTTTGCCCTTGCTCAGATCTTGGACGAATGTTCACCCCCAGAACTTCTCTACAGTAATCTGGCTTCTCCTTTCATCTCTGTACATAGTGTTCACTACCTTAAGGCTTGACCTCTGGACAACACAGTCTTCAGACTCCATCCCCTGTAGTCCTTGGAGGCCCTATTCGTCCAAACAATTGTGGTTTTCTTTGTTCTTCCTGTAGTGCTTGTTCAGGCAATATCAGTTAAGCATGATGATTTCAAGAAAGACAGCCATGGAAAGCAGTTGGAGGGATTTGGGCCCATGTTCTGATAAGAGATGGAGGGGAGTTCTCTGTGGTGTTGGTGACCAATGTGAATGTGGGTTCATGTGCTAAACGATATCCTCTCTTCCCAAAGCCAAGCAGCACTTGTGTCTGCTAGTGTCTGAGTAGGAAGTGGTGGATGCACAGAAATTTGAAAGGAGACCTTTACCGTAAGCTTAATCTCTGTCCTAGAAATATCAAGGAAGCTCTGTGGTTAAGTATCAAAAACACGGCTGCCGAACAAGATCTGAAGAAGGACAATGGCAATATACATGCTAACATAGAAGGGAGAAGCCTCATGGGATGCCAACCATGGGCCAAGAACTACAAGCAACTAAGGAATTCTGGGAGTGGAAGAAAATAGCTTTCCTTGGAAAAAACAAACCCAATTGGTTATCCAATACCAAGTGCCAGTCCTGGAAGCATCAACTCCACAAATCAAGTACATTTGCTCTTACAAAAAGGGGATCAGAGTGGTGGTGGAAGATAACTGGTGTTTTACCAAAATGGAGCCCCATTGTCTCTCTGGGAGACCATTGCATCACATAAATAGGCTCAGATCACATTCTTAACAAGAGCGAGGGGGCCCACACAGCCTGTGTAGGAATATTCTCCCAAGCAGAAATTCCTAAGCTATCAGAGTAGGTGCTCTGGACCATGTCTTTGCTAGGAGAACCAGAGGGCAGAATGGTAAAGACCCAGAGATTGCTTCTAGGTTGGTTAGAATGCGCCCCGGTGGCCATGCTCCAACAGCCATTGGATACCATTATTTGCAGGTAGATTATGTAAACACAGGGATTTTTTTTTTAAAGACTCAGTTAAATTGTACACACTTTTCCAGGATCTCTCCTCTGTCTTCACGCAAGGGATTATTGGTAGGGTTATAATTTCAGATAACTTGAATCTTAGTTTTAGTGTTCCCACACCATAGTTCGTTAACTAAATCAAGTGCAGATGTGAACCAAATCTTGATCGCCACTCCTTGTTTCCCCAGATGCTTCCCATCTCTGTGATCTTGCTTCTGGGGAAAATTCACATCTGTGCGCCTGCCTGGATTATTGACTCTGCTATACCTCAAGTTACATGACTCAGGATGAACCAGGGATCCTTGGTGCTAATTTTTTATTCATGCTTTGAACACTCTGCCCTCACCTTCTCTCTGCCTCTCTTCTCCTCTTGATATAGTGTATGGATTATAGTGGATAGAGAACAATATCAATGTTTAAAATTCAGTGGTGTTTAAGCCATAGAGTGTTTATTCCTACATGCAAGTTGCAAAAATCCTGGGAAGCCTTTGGTCTGAAGATGACAGGGACATTGGTGCATACCCAGTGGCCTGGTGGTGTCATACAGCTGTTACCCAGTGTGAAATAAAGTCGACACTTTCCTTAATCTTCTGCTATTGTGAGGTAGCTTTCTGAATTCGCCTTAGAAGTGGGAAGATAGAATCTCCTAAAGCTGCAGTCACAGCTGAGATACCATTTAGAGGGACATGGCCACAGGAATACCCAAAGGAGAACAAACAGAATCTGCAAGGTGATTAACGAGGAAAAGTGGCCATTATTCCTAATGTATCTCTTCTGGGACAATGGTGGTGTGATAGAAAGGCCTTTCTGTGCAGGCACATGTCAGAGCCAAAGGTTCACCTGTGGAATCTGTTCTCCACACGGAGAAGTGAGTCACCCCCAGGGATAGGATGGCCCAGTGACACAAGGCTGCGATCTGGTCATTCTCTGACACCCAGACCAGTCCTTTTATGTCTTGTAATATATAAGATATAGTAAGACTGCCAAGCCAACCCCCAACCTGCTCCACACTCATCAACTTCGTCCATTTCGAAATATTTCCCACTGTCTTTAACCCCAGATATAAGAGGAAACTAGATTTTAAAACGTCAGTGTCTGTAACTTCAAAGTATTCTTAAATCTACAGATCCGAACCCACTCTTTAACACGAGACACTATAGTTTACATCCGCATGGCCTCTTGCTTGAGCGAGTGCCGTTCTCACTTGTAAGCGCCCGTGCTCTATTTGTCTGCTCTTAGGCCTGAACCCACTTTGAGCTCCTCGAGAGAAGAAATGAAGCTTTATCCTTCTTGCTGTATTGTGGATTTGCTCTGTCTTCCCCACCATGGGGCACATGGGCTAGTCTCAACCTATAGGAGTTTGTTTACTAGTCCTGCTAGGTATCCCAGGATTTCGAATCCTTCCATCCCAGAACTAAAACACCCGAACCTTGGATCCACCACGGTTGCCTTGACATCTTGCAACAGTTGAGGTCTGCGGGATGACTTGATCTCCTGACTGAAGAGACAATTAATGCCCATAACACAGCAATCAAATTCCTCAACATTTAAATGTATTGGTCAAAAAAATCTGTTGATTCTTCTGTTACTGAATTTATATCTAGAAGAATTAACTGAGCCTTGACCTTCTTTAAAAGTTCATGGGTCAAGAACACCTAGAAGTCTTCACCGTTGTCTTTGTAAGCCTCTCTGGTACAGAGAGAAGATGAATAAGTATCACTAAGGCACTCTCTCTGATAAAATGAAACACCCTCACTCACGAATCTTAGATAGGTTTTAGACAAAGATAAAGTATGGGACAAAAGAGTCATTTAAGCTCGAGTATTTCTGTAGCAAAAGCTTTTCAATATAGCCCAAGTTTCTTTTATCTTCACTATCTAAATTCTAGTTCTGTCCCTCAATTCTGAACTTGTCCAAAACCTAACTTCCTTGGTTGTTAGAAGACTGTCTGGTCTCTTCTAGGCTTTTAGGTAGCGACAGAAAGCAGATTACATTCAAAGGCAATTAAGCCCCAGGCTACATGTCCTGGGGCCACCCCCCAAAAAGAAATACCTTGTCCATACCAGTTCTATCTGTACCCACAGCCAGAACCTGATCTGGAAATGTGCCCAGGGCCCAGAGAACCGCAGAAGAGTCTCATCAAGCTTGACGACTCCCATCAGGTGTGTGAGCTCCTGGCTGAGTGGGTGTGTTCTTTGCGGTGAGAGACACTGGAAAGACACGTCAGGAAGTATGTCATATTGTCATCACTACGACATTACAAGAATGACAATCATAGCTTACCTTGTTATATAGGCGGACAAGCACACCTTTTGGCCCAGTCCCGGCTTGTTGGGAAGCAGTCAGCTATGAGGCTCCATTATCTGCTATTTGCATTCCTCATCTTGTTCTTGGTGCCTGCTCCAGGTAAGCTGGGTTGGGAAATTAAGGGTGGGAGAGGGTTGAGAACTTGTCATTTAGTCGGTCCTTCTGTGTTCCTGGTGAGCCAGAGATCAGATGGATCTGTTGGGTGGAAACCAAACATCGCCAGTGTTTCCTTCTATAACAATCATTAGAGAAACCCTGTCTTGAAAACAACAACAACAACAAAAGAGCATTAAAATTAAAACAGGCTTCCGAGTTCATCCTGTTCCACTCTTCAAAGACTAAATAATGCCCTGAAGCCAACTCTCCACCAACTTACCCACTTCATCACTGGGATACAATTAATGAGGCAAGAGAAAGTTGATGTGGAATTTTAATTCTGATGGAAGTGAACAATTTAGTCTGATACCCAAGCCCACAGATGTCTATTCTAAATGGGCTTAGTGGTTGGAGGTAGAGCGGCACCCTAGGCTGCTTGAAAGGTGCTAGGGACAATGGTGTCCCCAACTCTAAGTTCTTACATAAAGGCTTAGAGGCCAGGCTACTGTGTGGTTACAGCTGAGATGCAGCCCATAGAGGTACTGTTTCCTGTTTAGGCACCCCTTAACTTTTCTTTTGATTTATTAGGACAAGAGAAAAGAAACAGACGTGAAAAGGAACTAATTCAGCAATGCATGGTTTGCTGGATCCAATGTCTTCCTAACACTCTTTCTAAAATGTGCTGTGATTTTTTTTCCCCTTGCAGGCGATGCATTCATCCATAAAACCCTCCGAAAAATATACTGCAAAATAAGAGGCGGCCGGTGTGCTCTGTTTAGCTGTATTAAAACGGAAGAACAAATAGGCCAGTGTTCTAAAAGAGGTCGGAAATGCTGCCGGAATAAGAAGTAGAAGATCCAGATTCAGGACGAGTGTGTCACCGTTTGGGGGGAATCCTCTTGGGAGTGTATAAGAGTAAAATAAAATTAATATATATATATATATTTTTTTAAAAAAATTAGTAGCTTAATCTTTTTCAATATTCTGGCCATCACAGCCATAAACAAACAGGCGACTAAGAAAGTCGTCAGGCTCAGTTTGATTTGAATGAAGCAGCACCTCTGGAGTGGTCTACAAGATACCTAGCTTATTTTCCAAGGCTAAGGACTGGAAGAGGTGTGTGTGTTGTGTATAAGATCTATAGAAATATGTGTGTATATGGAAAGTATGTACTCACGTGTATAGATAGACATTTTATATTTTCTATGCCCTACATTTCATTGGAAGCAGAGCCATTACCTCTTGAAATAGCCCTCTGGATCTTACTGTAGATATTTTGATCTTCCTAGTCTTCTCCCCAGAATTGCAATTTCCTGAACCGAAACTGTCAGTTCAACCCAGAACTCACTCTTTATCCCTTCTGAAAACTTTGCTCACAGAAACGGGAACCTGGCCCTTCCTCTGCTTTCTCTGCTTTCCCACTGCTAGGGCCTTTGCTCAGCCCCTTCCTGCCTGGTCTGCATTCCACCCACTCACTTCTCACCCCTAAAGTTCCGGGGGGGGGGGGAGGGCACCGTCCTGTGCTCTCTTCTTCCTCGAAACAGCAAACTTCCCAAATAGTAGCACCTTTCCTTGATGGGCCACAGGTTCTGACTCGAGTCCTCTGTCTACAGCTCTTGCATGGCTTTTGATCTGCAGACATCCACACATTGCCATTCTCCACCTTCAGTTGCAGGATTCATAATGGCATGGCCCTTGCCTCCATCTCTGGACTCTTAGTAAGCTGACTGTGGAACTGGTTAACAAGTGTCGTTTGAGGTGAAGGACATCCGTACAGCTTAGAGGTTGCTTCATTCTATTTGGTGCTCTCTAGATGTTGATATAGAGTGATTCCAGTACACCCGGACATGCATCCAGTTTGGGGTCTTCCCTAACAGCAGCACCCAGTCAGACGGGTACACAGACAAGATAACCAGGCTCTCAGCTAGGGCAAAAGAACCAAACCATTCTGTTTTATGGAACTCATCTCTCATCAAAAGGATGGTGTGAAAGGCTGTTTCCAGATACTAAACAACAACCAGTACAGAACCTGTGACAGAAGAGAAAGGAGAAAAAGAGAGAGAGAGAAAGAGAGAGAGAGAGAGAGAGAGAGAGAGAGAGAGAGAGAAGGGAGGGAGGGAGGGAGACAGGGAGAGAGGAGGGAGGGAGGCAGGTAGAGAGAGAGGAGGAAAGGAGAGAAGGAAAAAGGGAGAGAGGGAGGAAGGGAGGGAGGATGGCAAGTTCATGAACACAACACTTACTACATAAGGAGTTTCTAAGCGAAGGCACAGAGAGGTTGAATCACAAGACCAGCCAGCAATGTTTTTGCTTTAAACCACTGAGACAGCTATTCCAACAGCACAGTACACTCCCAGTTCTTTCAGAGGTGGGAAAGGGAGGCTAGGGCCTCAGTTGGAGACAGTGCTTGAGAGCTGCACCAGAGGGGTAGTGGGGACTTCCGTCCTGGGGTGACTAATGACACAAGAACGCTTGGGACAAACATCACATGGCCGGAGGAAAATGAAAATATCAGAAAGTACCTGTGTGGATGTTTCTGGAGTACACGGACCTGGGAAATGCATTGCCAACAGCAAAGTAGGAAGCGTCCCACCTCCATAATGTAACAAGGGGCTACTGGTGAGCTCTTTACAAAGGTTTCTGCAGCTCTCTGGGAAGGTTGTAGAGCCATTTTCGAAAAAACCATCTGAGGAAAAAAAAAAAAAAACCTAAATCCACGCTAGAAATAAAGCCCAGCTTTCCTTTAAAGGAGATGGCCAAATCCACCCTCGACATTCAAGAGTTTCAAGTGTGCTAGATGCCATAGAAATGACCAGATAGGCAGAGAAACATAAGGATACAATCCGCTGTCAGAAGAAAGGTGGTGCAGATGAACCCAGTGAAGCTGAGGATAGTAGTTAGCCAGTGGCATAAAAAGAGTCAGTGTAAGCATACCTAAGGCCCAGGATAAAACAGTTCACAATGAAAGAGCTGAAGGATTGAACGGAACTTACAGAGATGAACAGTAAACATTTGAATAAAATATGCTGAATTTTGGTGGGAGATGTGGTTCACTTGGTAGAGTGTTTATCTAGCATGCATGAAGCCCGGGATTCGACTCCCTGGCACTGCATAAAACTTGACTCATGCTTGAAATCCTAACACTTGGGAGGTAAGGACATGAGGAGCCAAGGATGAAGGTCATTGTTGGCTTCATACCAAGCTTGAAGTCAGCATGGTTTATGAGATGTCTCAAGTTTGTACATGCTTCTTTGGGCAAGCAGGGACGTGATAAAGCTTCTGGATCTTAAGGGGACCTGGACGAAGGCTCCCTCACAAGGTGGCAGCAGCCCTCAATCTGAATCCCAGCAAGTTCAGCCCATCCTCTCAGGAGACTGGAGAGGTTGATGGCAGTGCCAAGTAAAGCTAGTGTTTGGTAGAGTACCATTCTGGGCTTTGTGCTGTAGAAAAACAAAGGGGTAAAGTTATCAGAACACCTTGGTTAGTGGGCAGGGGATTAGCAGCAAAGACATTGAAGACAGGATGGTTCTGTTTTCCCGTGACAGCCCTGTCACTTAGCCAAGTAACCATGGGTGTCTCTTAACGTTTCCAGGTTCTGGAGTTTTCTTGTGTGAGATTGAGTCATTCCTCTCTGGCAGGTTTGTGAATAAGGACTAAATGAGATGGCTCACCCACAAGTGACCAAGACAGGGCCAACTCTACACTTAGAAAGCTCGGTGCTGGACAAAGATGCAGGACTATGCAAAGACCGGAAAAGAGAAGCTGTGTTGAGAACAAGAAGACAGCAAGCTTTCTTCCTTAATAACACTTTACAATTTGAAAAATGTAATAAGAATAAGAACTATAGAAGACAAATAGCATAGGCTTATAAACAGTAAAGAACCATTGTAGTTGTTATACATTTGGGAAATAATTAATTTCTTAGTAAAATGAACTGATAGATTATTCAGCATTTTTACAAATTTGTTTCTTAGATCATTTACACTTTGAGCAACTTAATTTTTTTTGGGTGATGTGCTGTGCAGGTGAAGAGTGTTTCCTAGGCTATGGAAATGCTGGGATAAGTTATTGTAAAACAAACATATTTCTTTATCTTGAGATGTTGATTCTTTTTTAAAAGATTAATTCAAATTCTCTTGGGAATTTTATATGTAAGTACTATATTTATATCACTTCCATTTCTCCCTTTCTCTGTCCAGTTCTTCCTGTGTCCTCTCCTCAAATTCATGACTCCTTTAATTATTAGTATTACATAAATATACAAATATGTATATATACATATGACCTGCTGAGTTCCTTTAATGTTGCTCATGTGTATATGTGTTTGGAGCAAACCACTTGGAAATGGGTAGCCTATATAAGTGGGGTTGATCCCTACAGAAGACTGATTCTCTCACCTGTACCTCTTCACCCAAGGGTAGGGCCTTTGAGATTTCCCCCATCCATGTTGAAATGTTAATTGGAAATATCACTGAGCAGGTCTTGTTTACAGAATCATATTGATAAAATTTCTTGGGTGCAACTTTACTGTCATATATAGAAGACACAATATTGTAGCCGATATTCTGGTCCTCTGACTCTTCCCATCTTTCCTACTCCTTCTTCAGTGATGTTTCCTGAGCCGTAGGTGTAGGAGTTGTGTTGCATGCAGATGTATCAGTTTGGTGTGCAAAAGTGGTACATGCATCTTGAAGATGGTTATTCTTATAAAGATCCTAATATTTAATTACTTAAATTGTCTGTTTAATGTAGATTTTAATTTAACTTTACTCATTTTATTTTAGGATTTATTTAATTTTATTTTATATGTGAGCATTTTGCCTGTACGTCTGTCTATGCCTTGTGCCCATGGAGGTCAGAGGAGTGGTCAGAACTAGAGTTACGTATGGCTCTAAGTTAACGTATTGGTACCGGGAACACCAAACCTGGATCTTCTCCAAGAGCAGTATGTGCTCTTAATTACTGAGTCATCTCTTCAGCTCCTGAGTTGAACTTGAAATGGAAATGTGGTCTGTAGCATTTCTGCTCACATTTTGTGCAGGTAAGGTGGGGAAGCCAGTTCTGTGCCTTAGAGTTTATTCTGCCCTCTGTTGCTGCATTCAATTGTTGTGTCTTCACTATGAAGGAAAAATAAACGTTAAAATCATCTTTCTTTCTTTTTTTTTTTTCAAGACAAATTTATCTGTGTGGACCCCTGGCTGTCCTGGAACTTGTAGACCAGACCCGCAGAGATCCGCTTGCCTCTACCTCTGAGAGTGCTGGTTTTAAAGACATGCACCACCACTGACTGGCTCTCTTTCTTGTTAACAATGGATTTATCTGAAGCTTCATATGAAAACAGCATTCTTCTCCATTGAATTTGACTCTTTGTGCATTTAATCCCCATTTCTGAGGCAGTAATAAGCCCTTGAAGTTTCTAAGATCCTGTAAGAGTTTAACGAGCTCTGGTGTCTGTCCCCCTTTTTACATGGTCACATCTAGCTTGAGACGATTCCTTGACTGTTGCTGGGACACTTGGAGTCCCAGCCCAGAGTTCAGGACAGAATTAACATTGGTGCACATATTCCAGGTTATTTCCATTGATGGATAAATGCACTTTCCAAGGTTGGCCCACATGGAGACCATCCTTTCTCTCTAAGACTGGGGTCACAGCTGCGGTCACCATTATGTCTAGACCCTGAGATTCCCAGGCTGCTCCTGAGATTCTCAAGATGGCCAGGTCAACCTTTCTCTCTGGGCCTGAGCCTGGGTCCTGTCTCTCGAAATGTCCAGGCTTGGACATGCTTGCTCCATTGTTTCATTGCATGCTACTTACAAAATGTCAAGAGAAAAGAAAAAGGTTGAGATGACGGCAA